CCAACACCCCCCCCCCCCCCACACACACTAATTAAGATGTCAACATTTTGTTTGTTTTTTTTAATTTTTTCTTTCAACGTTTATTTACTTTTGGGACAGAGAGAGACAGAGCATGAACGGGGGAGGGGCAGAGAGAGAGGGAGACACAGAATCGGAAGCAGGCTCCAGGCTCTGAGCCATCAGCCCAGAGCCCGACGCGGGGCTCGAACTCACGGACCGCGAGATCGTGACCTGGCTGAAGTCGGACGCTTAACCGACTGTGCCACCCAGGCGCCCCAAGATGTCAACATTTTTAATGGCGATCACGGTGAATATTGCAGAAGATTTAGTCATTTTAGCCAAAAAAAAAAAAAAAAAAAAAAAAACACCACAAAAAACAAAAAACAAACAAAAGAAAACAACCCACCAGGATATAAAATAAGGATCTTCAGTCACACAGCTTTTGGTTATTACTAGCTTAGAATGCTTATTAAAATATGGGATCCTGTGGAACGGGGATGAAAACAGTCTGTCTTATCCCTGAGGTTTATTTATTTTTGAAATGCATGTAACAGTTATGAAAAACTTACAATTAAAAAGGCTCCATTCAAAATGTGTCTGTGACCGGCCACGGACAAGATTTGAAAGTCTACCTTATTAGGACAAAGCGCGATGAGACGTCACAATGATTGTGTGCCAGGGAGACGGAATTTAAAACCTAAAGCACACATACACAACCTCAAGCATCCTTAAAGTTTTAAGGGCGTAGTGGAATCATGACATGGATAGATTTGCTTCCATTTTCTCTTTTTCTTTTTTCTCTACCGTTTAATAACTGCATGCTAAACTGCCATTAAAACAAAACAAAACAAAACAAAAACCAGTGGATCGGAATGATTTAATTTTCTTCTCGGACCCTTTCGAAACCGTATTATTTCTCGCTGTTTCAGTCATGCCTGACGAGTTTGCACATCCAACCCCAATATTATCGGGACATGGTATTCAGCAACCTTTTCAATAGCCAAAGGCAAGGGAGACTAAGAATGGACTCTCAGGCTTCCTCCTCTCCCTATAAAACCAGCAATTTGCAGATGGGAACCGCTCAAAATGCATTTGCAGGTGAACTTCCCAGGCACAGAGCTGAAGCCACAGATTTCTAAGAATGACAACTTCAGCACATCCGTGAAATGATCCTACTCGCCAATTTCCTATTTTTCCACAGGGGACATCTCAAGGGCTGGGGTCATGCAAATTCATTCCTGGCTTCTGAAGCATCAGGTAATGGCCAATGCCAGAGGTGGGATTCCAAAACCATTAGCCCAACTGGTCTGATCCTATAGGGGAAAACCCGATACTTGGGCCCCGCACCCCATCTCCTGGCCTGCCTGCCTAGTACTAAAAAGGCATCAGTGGAGAAAATGCTGAAATAGGTCACTCGCTGAAGCATATCCTAGAAGTGTTTTATGAAAAACAAATGCCATTTCCACAGAGTTTGAGCTCCATTGAGGAAAATAATACCTTAAATACAGATTGTTCAGTCTTCACTCCTGTGTTTGCTATATATATAATCCACACACACACACGCGCGCGCACACACACATACACACACGTGTATATGTATAGAAAATCTATCTGTGAGGAATTCCTTGAACCAAGAATCGTTGGTCACACCTGCAGCATTTCATTCTAAGAAGCAATACTGGCAGAGGAAGAAAATTCTTCCTCTCTCTGATTTTTCCCTTACATGTTTGAGTAAGGAATCATTAGAGCAGTTGCTGGCATCCGGCATCCGTGTGTTGTGGTGTGTTGAAAAAAAAAAAAAAAAAAACCCTCCCTTTAAACGCAGATTTTAACCTTTCCACCTTGGCCTCTTAACGTTTTCTTTCCTTTTACTCAAAGCATTTAGGTAAATTAGGATGAGGTCCTTCCATAAAAATGCAAGGGGATCAGTTAAACTTTCATCTCTAATTTATTCATGAAGAAGTGAGGTCTTGCCTGGGCTCGCTGTGCATCATCCTGTCAGAACGACTTTCTCTCTCGTTGAGAAGGGAGATGGAAGGACAGGAAATCACAGCTTGGGTTTTGCTAGTAATTGCTGCCAGGATAAAAATGCAGGCGTCTTCTTGCTTGGGGATGCGAATGGGGGCAAAAGTTTCAAAACACCAGAACTGGGACCGGAGGAGCATCTGTATGTGTGGGAGCGTACAAATAAAAGCACGAATTATAAACATAAATATGTAGCTATTACGAATGCATCAAATGTAAACACGTGGCTTCTAGAATCCACCTGTAAGACGCCTAGCGATTCCACGCCTCTAAACCTATTCATCATCGTGGCGTAGGCACACCATCGTGTCAACGTACGAGTGGACGCAAAGCAGTTACAACAATGGAAAACACGCCCGAATTAAATGTCCCACACCGTACCGTTTCCAGCTCTGTTTTGTAGTTACAACTTCCCGCGAGCTTGCTCGTGTAGACTGTCCGCTTTAATGATTCTTGCTCTCATGCATAAAGATGAAGCTCTCTGTTGCCCTGCGTGTGCAGGCAAACACGTGTGTGAGTCGCCCCCACCTTCTTGAACAGGGGCAAGTTCAAAAGATTTACTCCTCTTTTAAGAAGACCCCCGTTTTCTCCTTCAAATTTAACTGCGGGGTAATACGTGTAACGTTCTCTCTTAAAAGTGCCTCATCCATAATTTGGCTATTGTTGAGAGTGCTGCTATGAACATTAACTGAGGGTTGATGCGGGGTGGGAGGGAGGAGAGGGTGGGTGATGGGTATTGAGGAGGGCACCTTTTGGGATGAGCACTGGGTGTTGTATGGAAACCAATTTGACAATAAATTTCATATATAAATTAAAAAAAAAGTTCTCATCTTTCTTTTTTCCTTTTTAAATCATTTCCTGTGTTGTTTTTTTTTTCCTTTTCCTTCTCCACTTCTGAATATATTTCACATTTGTAGGCTTGTGGGGAAGGAGCTCAGAGTCTTATAATGTGAAAGACCTTATTCTGGTTGATGAATAGGTTCCTCAGTTTTGCCATTCCAACCCCGGTATTCAAAAATTATCATCTTTTATACATGTGCGAAAGGGAGGGGGGTGGGATCTGGCATTAGTTCTTTTAGTCGTCAGGAAATTACAAAATGTACACTTGCAAAGTAAGCAATTTTTGCAGTCGGCCTGCACATCCATCTTTTTAATGAGCCTTGTTTATAACCTGACGCCATGTTTCTAGTCACCTACCCTGTTTACGTCTTTGGCCCCTTTAATTAAGAGAAGAACCAGTTAAAAGAAAGTAAGAAGAAATATTAATATGATCTGATTAATTCAGCTAGCAGGAGGTTATGGGGTACCAAGGTTATTATAACCTATAAAGGCAATGTGAATAAAGCTGTATTCATTTGTAATTTTATTAGGCGGAGCAAATTAGTGAGTCTGCATAGCAGTGACAAAAGACCCGTTCCTATTTTTCCTTACCCCCTACTGCAAGGGCCAGGTGCCCAAAGTTAGGCTCCATATTAGGCAAATGAGATCTGATACATCTCAGCTGCACATCTAATGAGAACCTCCAGAGCCGGTGCTGTGCTAATTTGGAAAGATTAGCTGGGATGTTTGTGTATGGCTGGTTAAAGTCCAATGAAATAAAAGGAAAGCACAGAGAAAAGGAAGCAAAACCAGCAAAGGGTTAAAGACCTGAAGACAACCGGGGGGGAAGGCCAGAGAGAATTGATCATGGGCAAACTATTAGAAACAAACTATCAGGGGCAGTTTGCGGGGTGAAGAGAAAATTCTGTTTTAAGAGAAACAACCACGGAACCGGTCTCTTTCTAATAATAAAACGCAGTAAGGTCCACCCGCCATGGGCTCCCCCTCGCCTTGAACCTTCCCACCCCAGCCCCTCTGACATCAGGAGCCCAGCTTTTGTCCACTTTCGTGGAGTCAAAGAAAACTGCAGGGTTTATTTCCGGGAAGGATGTGGCAAGCCCTGATCGGTTATGGAGTGTTCAAAGGAGAGTAAGACCTTGGATTGCAAGTAACTTGTTCTGCGAGGGTTCCACAAGAGGATCAGACATTTGTGATAAATTTTAACTTGATAAACGAGCGTTGGCTCGCGATGGCAGTGGGGTACCTGACACCAAACATCACATGATCACAACTGAACCAACAGTTCTTGAAATTCGCTTTGATATACAAGTGCTTTGGATTGCAAGCATGTTTCTGGAAAGAATTACACTCTTAAACCAAGGTTTGATTGTAAAAGTAAGTAGGCATGGTGGGAGTCTTTAATACAAAGATCTCGGTATCCTTCCGGAGAGACATTCTCTTGGGCTGGTCTGTGGCTTTTGAAAAGAGGCTTCATTCTTCCAAAATCCTGATTTGTTTGGGCCTCTGATGTATGAATTACAGTTTCCCTCATCTTGCTTTTATCTCATCAGTTTTTCTGAACTCGAATTTCAGAGTCACTGCCAATCTGCTATTTGTTCTGGCCTGACTTGGCATCTCCCGGTGATGGCTCCAACCCTTACCTGGCCTATGCCTGACTCGCTGTTACGACCTCAACCCTGAGAACCTGGAGCGTTCCCTTCCACCACAGTCCAGAAAAAGGTTTTGATTCAGTTAGGGGTAAACTCTGTTATATCCTGAAAATTAAAATTGATTGTGATAGTTCTTAGTCTGATGCATACCCTAGACATAGACTCCTAAAGGGCTCATCTGAGCTCTTAACCAACTCTGAGTCAGAAAATTCACCTTTTACATGTATATAGTTGTACTTTACCGGAATATCTCTGGAATCCTATCTAAGCTAGTTACATGTTTGCCTCTGAGAAGGTAACTAGGTGCATAGCGGACAAGGTGGGTTAAGAGAATTTGTTCGTCATTTCGTACCTCCTAAATTGTGAACATGAATATGTTCCCTATTTAAATCGAGATCTTTTCATGATTTTTTTCAAAGTACAATCTTTCACCAAAAAAAAAAAAAATGCCTTTTATAAGAAACAAAACAAGCAAGCAAAGGGAAAAAAATAAGAGAGAGACAAATCAAGAATCAGACTCCTAATAATGGAGAACAAACTGATGGTTACCCAAGGGGAGGTGGTAGGGAGATGGGTGAAACGGGTTCGGGTTCAGGAGGACACTAGTCACGATGAGCGCTGGGCGATGCCTGCAATTATTGAATCACTCTGTTATACAGCTGAAATGAACATAACACTGTATGTTAACTAATTTGAATCAAGATAAAAACTTCAAAAGAGAAAAGTAGCCTTTTCCCAGTAGTACGGCATCCTATCGAGTGTACTCTCAGGAGAAGAAAAAATCGTAAGTTGGATAATAACAACAACAGAGTCCAAATAGATCATTTCAGAAACCCAACGGAGAAACGAAGGACATTCATCTTGAACAGGCATTTCCATGGCCGAAATTATTTGAATGCTTTACACTATGTTCAAAACAAATATAAAATAAGTGAAAAAATTAAATAATAAGAAGGAAACCCTCCCTGGTTGAGGAGAGAAACGACTTCTCAAGAAAATAAATCTTTTATTGGAAATAAATGAAAAGACAGAGCATTATATTGGACATAATATATGTTATGTTCTCTCACCTCCAAGTACCACATAAAGTAGGAGTCCTGAAAATGTGAAAAAAAAAAAAAATCATGCAGTGATCTCTCTTCATGCAAAATGCATCTCTAAAGTTTTAAAAATACATATAACGGTTCATGTATACGAATGTGGGAGCAAATCCCACAGTGAACACATTTAAATACCTTCCAAACTCTTTGGGATTTTTCCTCCTGGGCGATACTCTCCTTTTTTAAAATGGCTTTGGCCTGAAAAAAAAAAAAAATTGCTTTGGCCTGTAAAGCCACTTTTTTGATAGAAAGTGTACGCGAAATTGTTACTATTTACATAACATTTCAATGGCCCCCTGGTTCTCCCCGTCATCACTTTGCTTCCACTGGTCAGGTGAGAAATGGTTAAAAACATCTCCGGAACAGCAGAGCTGATGCATCGCTTAGAAGAAGCTAATACTATCATAGTAGGGACTCAGGGAATATCTATTGAGTCAAATAAGTCAAATAAGTGTTCAAATGCATATCACACACAGCTTGGTAAGGTGACCTGTGGTTTTCAATCAGAATCCATCTTTCTTTCATCACTGGTGCCGCTGCACTCGCAACGTTTGGTTTATTCTGAGTGACAGGGGTTTAGCGCAGGTCCTCTGGTCAAAACCCCAGTTCTCTCACTCCATGCTGTGTGTCTTTGGGCAACTGGCTTAATCTCTCTTTGGCTTCATCTCCTCGTTTGTACGATGAAGGAAATAGTGGTAGCCCTCAGCTCTTGGAGTTACTTCGAGGATTAAATGACTTAGTGCCTGTAAATCACTTCGAAAAGTATTTGACATATGGCAGTCCTTGATAAACGTCAGCTAGAGTGACCATTTTACCTTTTATTTTGGGTACAGCTTTTATAGCAGTCTCTCCCCAACTTGTGAAGCCCGTTGGAGACAGGGGTTGGCTTCTTCAGCTCCCTGGTACCTCTGTGCCTAGCACAAAAGCCCTACCTCAAAAGAGGAACTCGAGACGTGCTGACATTTTCTACACTGCATGGGGGTAACAGTCATTGAAACGATCCTGCTTAGAACCCGTCTTTCCCTCTCCACTTAGTTCTTGGGTTTTCCCTCTTAATCTTCTGTTTTCAACAGCCGCAACGGAGCAGCCAATAACTACCAGACAAGACCACTTGGAAGCTTGAGTGTTAAGTGCCATGTATTACAATACTGATAAAATGTTGACTTTACGTTAGTATCTGTGGGCTACAACAGGTTCCATGAACGTTGGTACCCTTACTCTCTCTCTCTCTCTCTTTCACAGAAAAAAGATGCCGTTGTTGGTGTGCGAATCCTGGAAGGAGCCAAGATTTGGGAAAATTGTCTCTGCCACCTTCTAAACTACTCTTCATATCAAGTAACGCCCAACTCATGGGATTGGGACACGTTTTGGTGAGATAAAATATGTAAAATACCCCGTACTCCGTCAATGATAACTATTGTTACAATCCTCGTTTGCAGAAAAATTCACCTCAGAGGGTTCCCATAGGCATAAAAGACTTCAAGCAAACATCATTTGGTAATAGTTGCACTCGTCGTTGGTAATTGTGCTTTGATTGGAAGGGTTCTGAGTCGGAGCCCACACTCGGCGGAATGGGTCTGCCATCTGGAAGCAAGTGTGCCTCGTGCCCTGTCCAGGAAGGGTCAGCACTGTCCTATGCTTTATCCACATAGACGGCAAGGATCTTTCCAAAGATTCCAAGCCCCCTGGATTCTCGCGGAGATCTGATGAAGCCTCTGAACCTGTCTTAGAAGAAATGATTTTAAGTCAATAATGTAAAATGCACTTTAAAAGGCAGCCATTAAAGGGGTGCCTGGGTGGCTCAGTTGGTGAAGCATCTGACTTCGGCTCGGGTCACGATCTCACAGTTCGTGAGTTCGAGCCCCACATCGGGCTCTGTGCTGACAGCTCAGAGCCTGGAGCCTGCTTCGGATTCTGTGTGTGTGTCTCTCTCTCTGCCCCTCCCCCGCTCTCTTTCTCTCTCTCTCTCTCTCTCTCTCTCTCTCTCAAAAAGAAATAAAACATAATAAAAAATTAAAAAAAATAAAATACAATCATTAAAATGCTGATAAGACCAACTCATAGTATCATAATATCATATGTGCTTCTTTATTAACGTAGTAAATAACAAGATCCAGCGACAGGTCTCATACCTATCATCCTGTTAAAGATGTATGGAACAAACATGACACTGTGATGGATCTGTGGCATATTTAATGTAATAGAATTGTATCCATCCCTTGGTGCAAAATCATACGTATTCTTAATACTGTTACCATGTTTTATCCACGTTCATAATGAAAGGGAATGCTGCATTTCAGTTAGAAATTGGTGAAAATAAAGATGCATCTATCCAATTTTGTCCATCCATTTTCATGGACCCCTTGCCCTGGAGCCCTAGACGATGAATCACTGTGCTAGATTCCCAACTTAAAACCCTGGCCTGAGACCTAGAAACTTCTTTTCACGTAATCAGCTTGGTATATACCGTGTTTCTCCAAGACCACCTCCCTGGTCGCCCTCCAGCACATACTCTTCCGTCAAACGACGTTTCTAAGGGCCTTCAGAGATCAAGTCTTAGAAATTTTTGTGGAAACATTGAATTGTTCCTCCCACCTACACAGGCTGATACCATAATTATTGTGGTTCTGTTTCTAGTGAGTTGGAGTATCCTGGTATAAATGTTATGATTTCTGAAAGTCAAGATTGAAGATAGATGCAAGAGAATTCAAACTAAGCTATGACAATATTTTAAGAAATGAAATGCTTTGAGAACAGTCATAAAACAGGAAGTGCCTGAAGACTTGGGAAACTTCAGACTCAGTTGTGCAGAGGGAAACGAGCAAAATAGACTTTGGACAAGCATGTAGACTGCGGGATAGTAATTCAACCTCAGCTTTACAGCTTTTTGACATGGACCCATATTCCTAGATAAAGGTTATAATTCATTCTCCTGGATATGAAACAATTCTTCACATGTTGGATTAAAAGCCCAGAGGGTATATATAGAGCTGGGTATATTGGGACAGAGTGATGTGTATCTCTAAAAAGGGAAACACAATTTAGATTAGGAACCTATTGTAAAGACAGGATACAGGTTTAATTTTTTTTTATGTTTATTCATTTTTGAAAGAAAGAGACAGAGCACAAACAGGGGTGGGCAGAGAGAGAGGGGGGGGGACACAGAATCCGAAGCAGGCTCCAGGCTCTGAGCCATCAGCACAGAGCCCGATGCGGGGCTTGAACTCACGAACTGTGAGATCATGACCTGAGCTGAAGTCGGACACTCAACCGACTGAGCCACCCAGGCACCCTGACAGGATACAGGTTTAAATTGGTGATTTATGTATTTACAAATGTTGTGCATGTTATTGACTCCCCATGAAAGTAACAAGTCCAAAGGGATAGTTAAAGTAAAACCTTACTCATCGCTCATATCTTAATGGTGACTGAGAGGGAGAACGCAAGATGAAGTCTCCCAAATCTGACCTTTCAAAGGCAGACACGGTGTGGCTCTTCATTGCTTGTTTACATTTGCGATAGTAAAAAGATTAATTGATTGTTCAATAAATTATCACTTTGCAGATGGGGTTAGTCTCTTAAACAAACCACCAATCACCTTGTTAACACATAGATATAAATAAATCGCTTTCAATAGAATGAAAATTATCCCCTATGTAGGTGTGGCAATTAGATTATTGATTTCAGGTAAATGTCTAATTAATTATGCAATAGGCTTCATTTCTTCTGTTAATTAAACTCCTGCTCTTTTAAGTCAATAAACTGTAGCCTCAGGAGAAATGAGAAGTTTCCCATTTGAAGAGTCCAGGCACTAACCCCCAAGTGGGGAAGAATATGGAACCCTTCCTTTTCCTTCAACACAAAGACCCATATGGGGACGAACTTTTAAGAGTAAATTGTATTTCCAGTTCATTCATTGTCTATTTCTAGAATCCAGATTAGATAGAAATCCGAAAAGAAATACTGAACTTGAAGGGAAGCCACTACCCTGTCTTTTGTCAGATTCTACCTAACAGAAATTAAACTCTCTCTGTCTGATTGGGTTTTACAGAGACCAGCTCTAACCTACCTTTACACAGTCTCCACCCAAGGTTCAACTCCTTCCGAAATCAGGTTATCCTCATTTCAGTGTTGATCATTCACATGATCTAGCCGGGAGAAAAGACTATTTTTAGGATTGTCCTGGGATCAGAGCCTAAATGCAACTCGTGTCCTCACCAACATGCCTTGTCCTATTCTTTACTTTGGACCAAAGAGTGATCCATAAACGACTTGTTTTTTCTGTTCTACTTGGGAGTTGACTAGTTGTTTTCTCTTCTCTTTTTGGGTATGTGAGGGGTGGGCTGAGGGGTGGAAGGTGGGGGCTGTAGCTGCTTTGCCTCACACCTGGAATCTGAACTTGGCTATCCCTCTCACTCTGATTTCATAACTTGATAAGGCTTCTGACCCTTTGATTGACTCCAGGTTTTGCTTTTCCTACCCTGACCTCAGTGCCAAAGTCTCACACATGTTGTCTCTTGTAAATCTAATGTTTTGCACATAGTAGAGGCACAATATTAATCCAGTAAATGAATGGAAGGGTGGGGGCCACATTGTGTATTTGTGAAAAACCCTGGGTAAATTCAGTTCTAGAGAATCTCTAGCTTCCAGACAGCAATGAACTGATTTTTCTTTTATGCATTGACCTAAGGATAGTCCACAAAATTAAAAATTACAGTGATAGTCATGAATATTTATTGAGTGCTTACTATGTTTCAGACATCATTCTAAGATAAATGGCATCCATTATGTCATTTAATCCTCAAAGAACACTTTCAATACCCACTTTATTATCTTCATTTTACAGAAAGAGAACATGAGGCATAGAACCCAATGTCACAGAGTAAGTGTTGGAATGAGGTTTTAAACTCAGGAAATATGACTACAGATTCTGTGCTTTTAACACCTACCCCGTTCAACTTATCGGTGATCACTCATAGGCAAAATGAGTGACCAGAACCAAAGGATCAATAGTGTATCAAACCGGTCCTCTTGGGCGCCTGGGTGGCTCAGTCAGTTAAGTGGCCAACTCTTGATCTTGGCTTCGGTCATGACCTCACAGTTCTTGAGTTTGAGCCCCACGTTGTGCTCTGCACTGACAGCATCCAGTGCTGTGCCCTCTCTCACACTCTCTCCCTCTCTCAAAATAAATAAATAAACTTAAATTAAAAAGAAAGAAACAACTGGTCCACTTGACCTGAAAACTTTTTGGCAAGAATGATAGCTCATATTTAGTAAGACCTTAATTCATTTTATTCATCCCGCAGCGAACATGCAGACCGCCATATTCTCAATGAAATCTCCATCAAGAAGGGGTTGACATTGTATGATGCCGGCCAGGTGCTGAACAGAGGAACACTTCCCACTAATGGTTTTAGCACTAGAAACGTGGATAACACATAAATAGAAATCATTTTCTCCTGACCAAAATACATGCCCAGAGGGTAGAAGTAGCCACAGAGGAACTACACACTATGTTTTCATGTGAATGCTGCCCAATGAGTTTACAGTAAGCCTGGACGTGGTCCTACTGACCACAGAATGACTTTCGCTACTTCTTGAGAACCTGGATATTTCCTTGTATGGCAAGAGCTATAATTAGCTGAGGACTCCTAAACTGTACTTGTTAAAAATAATCCCCATTCAAGAAACCTGGTAAAAGTTGTGCTGGTGTTTGCATGAAGCCTGTTATACATAATTTTCTGAAGCTGTTTTCAATCATGCAAATGATTTTTTCCTTTGCAATATGCTAATGCAATCTGATTTATTTCAGTTGTAAAAGTTAATTACAATGTGTTTGTGAGTCCCTAAAGATGATGTATTAAATGTTTATAACCGGGATTATTAAAATGTCCTGTCTCGATTACAGAGCTTCTCTTTCAAACACTAGAACTAATTGTAGCCTTAAATCACAACAACCTCACTGTTAAAATTAACACAAGGGCAACATTGCATAATTTTAATTAATTTTAATTTGGCCAAAGCAAATTAATTTTTGTTTTCTAGAAGGACAGCTACACTCTTTTGTAGCCTGCTGCCACTGAGTATGGAGTTCATAAACTTCTTTTCTTCTGAGCATCTTCATTCTCTTTGTTTATATTTTGGTTCCGATTTGCATATCTGGTTCTCTCTGGAGATAGAAGGCGGGAGGGAAAGGAAACCACAGTGGAATGTATACACTTCTGTGGTCAGGGAGACACATTTTTGTCTGTGAGTTTCATAATCTTCGTGGTCCAAGCCTTTACCAATAATAACATTCAGAACTCAGACTTCTATACTTAGCACCCATTAAAAAGCTGCCAACACCTCTTTCAAAGTTGGCAAAACAATT